CCTTTTGTGTTCATTATTACTGCTTTGTTTGTAATAAAGACTTGGTCAAAATGTTGCTTTATTGGTGTTCTTTCAGGAAAAAATACAAACTTCAAAAGTAAGTAAGTAGCAATTAATTATATTGATGAAGTTAAAAGAACTGAAAGTTCTATTTTACCATTCACTGAAAAATTAGGTACCTTTTGGTATTTTGACATTGTGGGGTTTTTTTAATCCAAATCATATGCTCTGAGCATGACAGCACTAAAAAAGGGACAAGAAAATGTGATGAAGATGATTTTGGTTTTGAGTAGTAGAAAAGAAAGAATAAACGGATGCTAATAGATGGAAGCAAGAAAAAACCCCTTTAAATAGCTTGGAACCTAGTGTTCTGTCACTCTTACACTACAACATTCTGTTTGACACTGAAATGATCATCAGACATCAAAAATGACTGCCCAACACTAGTCCATTTCCTGAATGTGTGGCCAGGCAATGCTTCTGAGTGGGTCCTTGGGAATATGTATCTGCAATTTACTTGTTCTTAAAGGATGATGATGATGTGATTTGTTTTGGGAGTGATCTTATTGTCTTTGTCAGGTGACGAAATTCTGTTTCAGTCTCACTGTGTATCTTTGCACTGTAAGGATTTCTCGAGATATGAGAAAGGGACATTTTCCATGCAACTTGCTAATACAGCTCCAAACAACAGTTCCTGGACAATCACAGGATGGTAAGATCCAGAAACTAGCTGCAGTTCCTCCATTCGTGCATTAAGAGCAACAGAAGTGAGTCAGTGAGAAAGTTTAAGTTTACTATTCAGGGAGAGTTCGTCACTGATTTGATTAATATATTGACATTGTGGAAACGTTAATGGGTATTAAAGGTTTTTTTTATTAATCTGTATGATATTTGGAGGTCTGGCAAACAGTAGAACTTTTCACTGGGGGACAACTGCTGGACCAATAAGTCATTTGATTGTGCTCTAGTTTATTTTCCTTTTCCTTTCTCCCTAAACCCTTTTAACCCTCTGACCATGAAGAGCAATTTGAATAAGCTTTTTTATTTTTTTAATAGTGTGAATCAGTGGCTGATCAGAGGCTTTTTGGAGCTTGCTTCTGGCCAGCGTCTTTTGCTGAGCTACTTGGGGAATACATGGCAAATATTTGTTTCTAATTACAGAAAGGATTCCTACCTGCACACCTTGACAGTCATTGCTCATATTTGTTACTGAGTTTCAGTGCTGCTTGTTTTCTAGCCAAATGTCAGGGTTTTTTCTCTGAATATTCTCCAGCTCTGCATTTTCTTCTTTGTCATTGTGCTTTTTCCACCACTTAAATTATTACCTCATGAAGGATAATGTGTATGCCTCAGTGTAGGTATGTATTTAAATGATTAAATGAAAATATAACAAGACTTTCATTCTTATTATTGTATTTCTTAGTGAATTGAATGAACTGGAAAACAATATCTTTGGAGACCTCTCTGTGTCCCCTATTTTCTGCTTCCCCTCTGGAAGGCATTAAGCATACAGACTGGTATCCTAATTCTATACAAATAGCTTAGATGTGATGCTGTATCCTTGGAAGGAAATTTATTTATTTATTAATTTATTTATTATCCCTTCTTTCCACCTATTTTAAAATACTGGATTTTCTTTATTATTACTTTTTTTCTTTTTGCTGTAGTTACTTTAGGATTTTGACCTATTGCAACAATCTCAGATGTCATGCAAAACAGTCAGCTGTGAATAATTACCCTGCTTTGATCTGCAGCTCCTGCTCTTCTTAATCTTCCATATGCTTCAGTAATAATGATATTGTACTTGTATGTCTTGCCATGTTACAATTGGTAATAGGAAATTATTCTCTCACCTATTATTACTGTGTTGTTAGGAGGAAAATATTTTCTGTTATCCATGAATATTGTCAAGTTTCATTCAAACCTGTAGCAGCTTGCATTAAATACTCATCAGTTTGCAGGAATGGACCCCCAAAATATTTGTTTTACGATAGGATGTGCTATATGCTGAGACAGAGATTTATTGGATAATTTTTCTGCAGATAAGTTCCAAGTGTTTTTCTAATGGTTGTCAAACATATGGAGGTTACCAGTTTGATAAACACAATGCAAATAATATCTAGTGGCTCTCTCCACTTTAATAAATATGCTTTTGTTGTATTCGCCACATTTCTAAAATATTTTTGTAATCCTTCATAAACAAGAATATTTTTTACATAGTACAAGGCAGTTTTTGTTAGATTACAAAAGAAACAAAGAAGAATTGCTGTGGGTTTATTTTTTATATTTTACATTGACATATAGGAATATTCAGTGTAATTTTTAACTGCTTTTCTTGTCTCTTGTCAGTTTAACTAGGACTTTTAATCTTATTTAAATTTCTGGTTTGTGCTGCCTCCATTTCTGATCTGTAATAAAATTAATAGATATGTCCCAATGTTGCTCTTGAGAAAGGAAAAACATCAGCATTTTGAACACTATAAGCCAATATTTTTCTCCATGGAAGAGATGATGATTGATGACATTGCCATACATGCTTAGAACAATTTCTCTGTTATGGAACAAAAATATTTCATCTCTGCTTAACTGTTTCATTTTCTAATTAGGATGCTACCATCAGTGTGTCCCTTGTGTGTTCTTTCTCTTTGAACTATTCAATCTAGGTCATACTTTCTGCACCTCTCTGCATGGCACAGTAAAAATTAGACAAGGTTAGAATTAACGATAGGCTAAAATACCTAGAAATAATTTTAATAATTATTGAGCTTAAAGCTATGAATAGCCTACAAGGATTTGCATTTGGATTCTGATTTCAGACTCGGTTCTACAGCACATTGACTCATTTGCAGCTCTTAGTACTTTATGGCAGTATTTCTATCCTGGCTTGCTAACACTACATTAGATAATGTTTACATATATGAATGATTGTGAGCTCTTGGAGTGTGTTTTTTTCCACTTATTCACAATCACAAGTAACAAAAAGAATAGAAAAGAAGAAAAACTTGTGTATCTATTATTTAAAAGGTCACACCTTTTAAACAAAACTCAAGTAGTCTTTCATTTAAGTTTCCCTTTGTTTCCCTATTATTAAAATGTTCATATTTATGTCAGATTGAGAGCCTTCATAAAATGTCAGCTTTGAGTGCCCACACTATATCCAGATATCAAATTCTGCTACAAGAAAATATTCCTTTTAAGGTTCTGACATCAAAGACAAAAAGGTGAGTTAACAAAGAAATCCAGTCATTGCATTGAACAATTGCTATATTTAGGACAGATTTCTACAGCAGCACTTATGTGCTAATTTCCAATGATTTCAATGAAGAGGTGGGGGGAGGAAGGCACTATGCACCAAGTCTTTTATAATAGCTGTCTCCATAGAAAGAATTGTGAGCTTTCCTATTTTAAACATCTAGAGCCAGTGCCCATCAGGAAAGGCAGAATGAAGGTGTTGCTTAGCTTGAAGAAGAGTCAGAGGGAGGACATTATAAAATACACTCAAAACTGATTAAGAAAAATAAAAATTGTGTGCACAGCTGATTGGAAAAGAGGTAATAGGGTTAAATTGCAGTGAGAAAGTTTTGAGTTAGGTGCAAGGAATATAAGAGTTTCCTTGCAGTAATGATTGTAAGGCATTGTCAAGTAAGGGTTTTAAGATTGAGCCATAATGCATCTGATCATCAGTATTATAATAAGTATAGTTGATGCTGCCTTAAAACAAGTTTGTGGTCTAGATTACTCTTGAAGTTTCTTGTAGATGTGGTAGTTTAGCTACTACTGAAATGTAAAAACAAAAACCACCATCACAAAGAACTTAGGTAACCTGGATGATAACAAATGTTGCTTCTTGTAACATTACAGAAAGATTTAAGGTGGAAGGAACTTCTGGAGATCATCTAGTGTAACCTTCATAGGTTACATAGGACCTTAGATTGGGTTATCCAGGGCCCTGTCAAACCAAGTCTTTGATATTTCCAGCAGGGGAGACTGCATCACACCTCTGGACTACTCATAGTAATGTTTAATTTTTTCATAATGAAGATTTTTTTCTTATATGCAAATAGAATTTCCTCTGAACCAACTTGCATTCATTGCCTCTTGTTCTGCCACTGTCTGTTCTTGTGGAAGAGGAATCTCTATGTTCTCTATAACTACCTTTCACATTTTGGAAGTAGAGTGATAAGGTGACTGCTCTTGACAAGTTCTGCATTTCTATTGAAGAGATATCAAAGTTTTGGTCTGTATCTGACTTTCCCCTGAGATCTCTTGCTAATTTGGCCATAATCTCAAAACAAAAACAAACAAACAAAGAAACCCTGAAAACCAAACCCACTTAGGAACATAAGGGGTATGCATATAAGTTCCTGTCTTCCACAAAGGCCTGGAGATTTGTCTGCAAAACTGGGAAATCTTTTTTCAAGTTTCTCAGAATGGTCAGTCTTAACTGAAGACTTCTCGACAGAATGCTTCTGACTCACTGTTTGTCCGTTTGGTTAAGCACTTCCTAGGATGCTACTGTTTTGAGAGAGAGGTATTATAGCCTACAGCTTTCACAGGAGCATAGCAGAGAGCAAGCTTCTAAGAGATTCAATTACTTTTAATAATTAAATAGCAGTTTTCAAATGTGGCATTTTTATATTAGAAGAATAGTGTTGTGCTTTGATACTCATTTTTATTATGTTCTATATTTACTTTTATGAATACAAGAAAACAAGAGAGCAGAGAAAGAAATCCTTAAAACTGATTTCTATTCACAGATCAAATGCAGTATAGTAGAACTACCCTGAAGTACTTTTAAGGTTTCTTACAGCATGATTAGTTCTAAACTGGTTTTACAAAAGTGAACTAATAATTTCAATTGAATAATTTGCATCTTATGCCATTATCAGAGAGACTTATGTAAAAAATTATTGGGGGCAGTATTCACTTATATCATGGGGTTTGTATAAATTTAAAACATAACAGGCAATATTTATCACATCACGTAAAACATCCAAAACTAGTTGTTTGTTCCTTATATTTTTTGCTGTAATATATCACTTATGTAGTTAAGAACTGAATATCTGTCATCTTGAATGTTACGTTATTTTGTTGGCATATAAACTGATTCTACAAAATGAATATGTTTAAGAATAATTCCTAGCCTTCCGTATTGATGACCCACGGAACATCAGTGACCTGAAATATGTTTTCATAAATGTATGTAATTGTTTTCAACTTCTTCTTTTTTTCTTCTTTAGAATGCTATTCTAAACCATAACTAAGCATGGGGAACTAACTAAAATCATTTTATAGTTGGAAAACCAAACTTCTCTCCATCTGGCTTTAACTCTAGGTGAACTGCCACAACCCTTGACATTTCAAATGCATTGAATATTTTATCATTCCATTCCTATGGATATGTTTTGTTGAGACATAGACCAAAGTAGCAGATCCAGAAATAGAAGAGTTTTGTTTTATTTTAAAGTTGACTTGCTGTGTCGCACCTCATTTGTCATGCCATTCTGTGTTTCATAAACAACCAAATACAATGATATGCTCTATAAAATATGAGTTGTGTCTCCAAGACTCTATCCAGGTTTTTTCCATTTCTAATGGCAAGACACATACATGTCCTTCTTTATATTCAGCTGTTGGATTTTTGCTCATCATTTCTGGAAAAAGGTAAATATTGAATGGCAATTAATATTTGTGACATACATTGTGTCTCTTGCAGAAATGTATAGTAACTTGTTAGTCTAAACTCTTGAATTTTTTGCTTTGTTTTTGGTTTATTTTTTTGCAGGTTTTTGACGATCTAATTTTAGGTACTTTTAAACCTACCATGATTTTCGGAAGATGGAGAGCTGCTATTTTTTTTAAAGGCCAGATACTTGTGTCACAAACACTTTACTCAAATTTGCCACTTTATTATAATCTGGGTCACTTATATATGATACATAACACTGGCAGGAAAGCCATCATTCAACACACTGGTCAATTGAAAAAATGTATCTTTGCAAACAAACAGATGATCTACAACACAAATCCTTCTGTTCATGCAGTCTGCTTTCAGTTGCATCAGAAATTAGCATAATATCATGGTTTGAGAAATGTTGTCAGCTGCTTAGTCTATGCTGACAGTATGCAGAACTGGAGTCTGTGAAGGAAAGATCTTATTGCTTTGAAAGAGAAAAAAGTGCTTTCTTAGGTACCAGAGCAGACAAAACAAGTAAACAGCCTGAATCTAATTCAAAGTTCATTGACGTCAATGAATTTCTTTCCTTTGACTTCTGTAACTTCTGAACAAAGTCCTAAGGGAACAAGGTGACAAATGTATTGGCATTAATGCTAATTTAACTTAAATACTATAGATTACATTATTGTCTGACATTCAAGCTATAATTACATAAATCTGCTCCATGTATTTGCTGTCAATTTTATAGATATTTCATTCGCTTAAAAAACAAACAAACACACTGTGTTCTGTTTGCTTTAGTATGCAAGAGATTTGAGTGCTTAAGAAGTTTATTTACATTCATTGCTGCCTGTAAAGATGTCATTTGTGTGCAAACTCAGTGAGACGCATCATAAAGCCTACTTCAGTTCTCAGATGATAAGAAAATATCATTCCTAAATCCATTTCATAGGCTAATTTAAAAAAAAAAAAAAAGCATGAGAAAGAAGGAAGGTGAAGATACTAGATTGAAGATTCTCGAAGGCAAAGTAATATATGGGCTTAGTAAAACCATAGGGAAGATAATTCCAATCAGACAGTTATAATGAGATAAACCAGATGGATAGGATCAAAACTAGTTTTAGCTTTAGGAAATTAAAAAGAAAAAAAGCAGAAAATTAGGAAGGTGTTAGTAGTATATAATTTAAAGCCCTTATCATGATAAAGAGAAACACTAGAAACAGTGGTAGCAACATTTAGAGGGTTAAGGAAAAGCAGTGCTGTCTGCACCTTTATTTCAACAGTCTATTTGACCCAAATGTTTTTTTGTTGTTGTTCAAAACTGCCTCTTTATTTAAAAGGCAGTTACAAGAAATCTAGAAAATACAGTTCTCAATCAACCCAGATTTCTGGGGGTTCAGTGTGTGTTTAGATTCAGCTGTTTCTTTTTCTAAGCTGTGATATGACAGTTTTGCTCTGTGATTAAAAAAACCTTTTTTTTAAGGAGCAGGTGGAAAGGGAGGGGGAGAGATACTCTATTCTTTTCCTCTGACAAACAGAAAATGCAGATAAATTATAAAAATAATTTTTGTAGTGTATGAGACTTTTCTGCTCATAAGAGGTATTTACTATGAATGAGATATTGTGATTCTCCTTATACATCTTGAGGTGAACAGGTTGAAGATCCTACCTAGCATCACTGAGTATACTTTATTCAAGACAAATTATAAATTTGTAAAAGGGTGTAGTGGTTTGATTTAGGACTTCCCTGGCAACCAGGTCGACACCAAGGAAATACCTATATTCCAGTATTCCATCCTATTCATTACATAAGCAGACATATAAATAAGAAGGGGAGAGGGGGTTGAACCCTTCTTCTCTTCTGGTAGATTTGGAGAAAACAGCCTTCCTGCTGCTCCTCCAGGTGTGGGGGTGTGGGCCTGTGGTTTGTCAAGAGTTCGAGTGGAATGATGTGGTAATTGTGGGCTGGGACATTTCTGCTTTCTCAAGGAAAAAATTGAGATTTTGTTTGCTAGTTCTTATTGACTGTGTATATCTGGTTTGGGGTTTTTTTTCTATTTTTTCTTTTTAGGGCTGTTAGGGGTTCTCTTTTTATATGTATATAGTATTGTAACTGTATATAAATGTAATATATGTAAATATATATATATATATACTGCTCTTGTTTTGTCATTTTGGTTTTTTTGGTGGCTTTTCCCTTCCAATTCCTTCCCCTGTGTTTGTGGGAAGAAGGGGGGGAAGAGCTTTTGCTGTGGTATTGGGGACTTGGCAGGGAGTCAGGTCCAAACTGCCACAAAGGGGAATCCTTGCACCTTGTTAGATTTTAGACCACTTTCCTTGGTTCAAAACCTAACTTTGAAGACATGTGATATGAAAGTTCAGAAAAATTCTTTTTGCTTCTAAAGTTCATGTCTGCTCTCTAGCATTTTTGATTATGGAGGTACAGCATAGCAGTCTGACTGAAGTTACAGCTTCAGAAATCCTTCAATCAAACAAGCAAATCTAAAGAGATGTAGATAGACCCAAGAGGTCCAATTTCTGCAAAACCATATCCCAGTATCAATACTTCACCTAACCCCATCATCCTTCCCTTGGGTATTAGGGCCATCTGAAGGTAGCAAGGTGCATGCCTTTAATCCTCCTCTTCTCAGCTATGTGCGGGATCTCAGGGACTTAAATTAAGCAGCCTGTGTGGAGAAGGCAGCTTTTCAATGTCTGAATGCCATGTGTAAGTGACTTAAAGATCTAAATTATCTCAAACATTGTCAAGGTCACAGAAGGAATTTGCCATAGAATAAGCCACCACAGTGGGAACTTGAGATAAGCACAGAAGACATAAATTGACAACAGGAAGGTGCTAATACGGAATGCTCAGTGGAGCTGAGGTTTGATTAGCATATCTTGGTTAATGCATCCAGACAAAAAATCCCACTGTGGTAGACTTTGGGAAAGGAAACACTAGTCATACACGTGCCACCTAAAGTTTTGAGAACATCTGCAACAACCCTGTGTACACCTGAAACTTGGACTATACACCCATGGTACCCCCAGCATGACTCCAGGACTCCCACCCCTGAGAAGACCAGGGTGAAGAAGGAGCAAGGGATGTCACTGGATCCATAGAGTTGTGACTATCTTCTGCTTGATCTCTCTTCCTCTCCTTCTCTTTCTCTTTCACTCTCCCTCTCTCCCTCCCCACCCCCACCTCCACCTGGCCCCTTTCCTATTTCTTTCTATCTCTCTACCTCACATTTACTGTTAAATAAAATTCATATTATTGATTTCATTTTATGGTTCCATTTTGTACCTTAAATCAGGCAGAGGCATCTCTCAATATCTGGATCTTAACACCATGGACAACTTAAACATTTACTCTGCCTTTCCTGAAGAGATGGCATAGAAGTCTTTGTGTCCAGATTTGATCTATGGGCCACCAGTTGTGCCTAACTGGAATTATGGACTTCCTAAAACCAGCATGGATTATGTAGAGAATATTTCTTTCTCCAATCTTTAAGAGAACATGCACGTTGAATTCTACAATCCTTTAACTGTAGAGTTTTGTTCTTTTCCAACTGTAATGTGATTGAGACTTTGTTTTCTTGTTTGGTATTTACAAGGAAGGTTTTTTGCTACTTTTTTTCTGGCTTTTGGAAATATATGCACCTTGAGAAACCTTTCATATACTTTGTGGGTTTAGAGTTGTTGGGTTTTGTGTCTTTTTACAGGCTGTTGCCTAGGCAAATCTCCAATTTCCCAGAAACTGACCTGATAGACCTTATAACAGAACACAGTCCTCTTAAATTTAGTGATAAAATGGTTTGGTAGCATTTTTATTTCATTTCTGGTCAAAAAGTTATGCTGTAGATCGGTACTAAAAATTTTGGCAATGGATCATTTTTTTTACTCTTCCATTTATAATTTCAAAAACTACAGTACAAACTTATCCTCTGCTCTTGTAGTTCAGAAGCCTTTGGGATTAACATTGTAAATTAAAAATCAAAATGGACTTTTCCTCCCCTTTTTCCCTGGTTTATAGAAGAGATTTGTATAAAAGCTGTATATGAAGGTGGATTTATAAAATGAACTTCATTAAACTTTGCTCCAAATTGCCTATGTGAAATATTAAAAAAAAAAAGGCGTATGAATAAAAGACACTAATTGAAATAATAATTCAGCTGTAGCTAAAGATTGACTCTAAATACAGGATTATTCTTTATATTTTAATGGTTACATTAAACTTCTGGGAAAAAAAGAAATATTAAGTTTGATAAGACATAATCATCTTATCAGTATGAGTTATGTTATAACACTGTATGTAAAATTAGCTGACCAAAA